AAGTTCTAGTTCAACACTTAGTTCTTTTAAATATGAATAGAATGTAAAATTTTATCTTTATTCAAATTCTATTTCTGTGAATCCATTGATTATGTTTTCTACTGCTTTATACTTGTTTCACACCTAAACACAGAAAGTATTAAAAATTGATAAGTTGTTCATACAATGTTCTTCCTTTGTAGTTAATTATATCTGTAAAGCTTATTCTTATAATTTAAATGATGATGAAAGAAAAGTTATAAACACTGGGACAAGACATTAAATGTTAAGCATTTCATTAAAAAATATATTAAAAATAAAAACGCCTAAGTCATATATGCTTCCTCTTCCTAGTCTGATAATAATAATAGAAGACAATTCCTACCCGACAACCCAAAACAGAAAGGGTTCACAATTTTTTTTTATTGATGCCATACTGAATGAGAACATCAGGAGGTACTTCAAACAAGCTGCCATACTCTCCGACTGCCACTAGGATTTTATTTAACGGATTTGATGGCGCATGGTTCTTTTTAAATCTGTGAAAAAATCAAAATAACATTGTATTATAGTGTCCATGTTCAATTGTAAGTTTACATAAGATTAATAAAAATTATAGTAAATAAGAGTAAATAATTAAAACAAATATCATTTTTTTCTTTGACAGAATAAAAAAATCTTACTTATGCGAATGTTTACATGGACGGATGTTTGCTACAAGTTATTTTCTGAACGGCTCAACGGATCTTGATGAAATTTGGTACAGATGTGGAACATAGTCTGAAAGGAAACATAGTCTACTTATTATGATTTTTTTAATACTGCGCGGACGGAGTCTATAAACTTACTTCATACTATATTGCAGTAAATCATGTATCTTCTTACAAGCCTTTCTAAAAGTAGCAACAATGTAGGAATATAAAACATTGTTCGCTTGCATTTCGATAGTTTTCATTGGCGCTATCAAAACTCCTTTCTCTGATTCCAGTTGTACAAAATGAAATAGGACATTCTCTTCACCGGCTGTTATTCTGGAAATTTTCGAATTCTATATTTAATATTTTAGAATAGGACCTCATTCTTTTTTTAATATCATGTTTTTTATTATACCTGTGGACAGTCACATGATTGAGTTCATTTAACACGCTAAACGCCATGGGGGTCACCGGTGACCTCACCCTTCCTCTATCATAGCGCCATGGGGGTCACCGGTGACCTCAACGTATAGTCATATTCAAATTACTTTTTCTCGCCGCCGGCCATACTGACTGTTACTTTATTCGTACTCCGTGACCCGCACGGCGCTGTAGAACTATACTGCGCAGTGGGACAAACATACCTTGTAAGGAATTGAAAAAATGAAAGATAGCGAAAAAAGTAACCAAAATAAAAATTCAGGATATATAATTCAAATTACGACCAAAAGTATTTTTACGATTTTTATTTTTTTCTATCGGCGTGTAACGTTTAAATAAACTTTTTCTTATATCTGTCATATCAATATTCCCGCTAGTTCTACTCCCACCCTGAAAATTATAACATATGATGACATTTTATTGTCAATTTTTGCAAAAACCTACAAATCCGATGTCAAATAAAAAAAAACTTAAAAAGCTACTAGACTTTACGCTTAGACTTTTATTAAAATATAATCTATTTATATATTTTAAGTACACAATGAAAGGCTTCGTTCACACAGACCAGGGCGGAGACCAGGCAGATTTTTACACTCGTACTTAATAAGAACATGCAATGTTTTAATCTTATAAATCTGCTATAATCTGCTCGCCTTGTCGATTTAATAATTATAAACATCCTCACCTGTCTGTCCCAGTCAGAATCAGATCCAGAGGAGTCACGGCGACCTTTCTGTTCTCTGTCCGCTCGCCGCCCGGTCACACGCTCCTCAGTTATTTCACTACAAAAAATTAAATGTCATCAACATTAAAATTTACACATAATATTTAACCAAAGCTTTATCCCTTCTCTTGTATTATTTGCCTTATCTACATCTTTTTTTCTTCTGGCAATTCCACTGCCATATTGATGCACATGGCAACATCACTTAATATCTCATTACAAGTTCTTCTTCTTATTATAATAATATTATGTGAAAGTTTAGATGGATGGTTGCATGTTTGTCAGAAAATATCTCCGGAACGGATGTACAACATAGTCTCGAAGAACACAACTATAAAATACTCATTAAACATACCTGTTGCTCTTCAAGCTATTAGAATCTTCCGAATAACTGATGTCTAAATTACTTGAATGTCTGTAATTCTTCTGTGAGCCGTTATACCATTGATTGTAAAGGCTATGATGACTCATACTATGATAGTTGTTGATAGGATTATCACTTGAACTAATTACTGAGTTAATTTGATCAGACGAGTTATGTCGTCGCTTTAAATCCGGCTGAGATTTAGATAATTTCAGTGTAGTGCTCCTAAAGTTGTCCGATTTTAGAGCTAAAAGAAAATAAAATAGTTTAGCCTTCTATTTTATACTAAGATGGCTGAGAATAACAATTCTTGCCTTACTTTCATTGAACTAATAATAAACGGACGGTGGCGCGGGTAAAAGATAATCATAAACTTACAATCCCTCATTTTCCTGCCATACTTTGTCAAGTATTCAGGAGTTGTTTCAACCTGTGGTAATGTGTTTGATGAGAACCAGGTAGCCAAATATTTATGCAGTCCCACTTCGTAAAGCATTTCCAAACAGCTTTCCCATTCCTCCACGTAAAATGGAGATGGGGATGTTACACCTATCGCCTGTAAAACAAACCATTTAAAGAAAATCACTAATATTTATACACAAAGATATTGATAGAAGAGAAAAAAGTTTAAGAATATTCCTTGATAAGCAATGTTTGTAAACAACATGCCAAGCAACATTGTTATGAATCCATACAGATTGACTGATAGAAGAACAAAAAAGGAAAAATTAGAGTCAGAAAAATTAACTAACAATAATTACTTACATCTTCTGTACATCCACCTGCTTCCATAAGGGTGGCTAATATAAAATGACCCTTACCAACGATCAAAAGAAACCAACGCCCATCTGGTATTCTACATTAAAAAAACAAAAAAGAATTGAACACAACATAAAAAAAAATTAAAAAAGTTCAAGTTTACTTATTGTCATTTCTGTCGTTTTTATTCCGACTTCTATGTTCTTTGATAAAAACTTCCTTCCACATAACAAGTTTGTCCAACTCCTTTTCAGTGCTAAGCCTTAATATACTGTTATATTTTAAATACGCATTAATTTCTACTAAGTCTTCATCACATAGATGTGAACTTAACAAGTGTCCAGAATAGTATAGACATGCTCCAAATACAGTGTACAGCCTTTGAAAATTTTCAACATCATCTGTCTGAAAATTTAAAGAAAAAAGTTCTTAACAGACAAAAAAATTATAACAAAATATCGAAGCTTTAAAATTTACAATGGAAGACAACTGCTAAAGAAAATTACACAGAACACAAGAAATTTACCCTACTTTTTTCTACACAAAACACACTTCCGAAAAGGGTGAGAAGAGAAAGAGGACCAAAAATATGATGGCACTTAACCTACTTCATGTATTAGATGATTACAATCTACAATTAATTAAATTTGCATTTGAATTTATACAATACTAACCCATTCACGATAATCAGCCGCTTCTAACACTGTTATTGCATCATCTACTTGTATTTTCACTTCCAAAGGTAAAGTCACGGCATGACAAGCTACAAACTCTTCAAACATCATTATATTAACTTTCCTTTCTTCTTTAGACATATTTTTATAATTATCAAACAATAAATGAACGAAAATACGAGAAAACAAACCGTCTAGCTTATCTACATTATTAGGTTTTGTAAAACAGGATTTTAATGACCCATAAAGGAATTCCAAGATTTTTATAACATAACCTATTAATTTTTTAGCGCAAAAAAGATCTAAATTCTTGTTAGGTACAACCAGTAAAAGTAGATCACTAAAATGAGATGCGTAAGTGACATTAATTAAAGTATTGTTGTAAAGGACAGTTGATACTACTGGTTCACTAGTACCCAATGATTTAGGGGCCAAATGATTAAGTGTCACATAAGCCCCTCTTGAAAGAATAAAAAAAAAGTTTTGATTATATGGCCGAGGGTAGCAATAAAGTACTCCATTATCATTACTCAGATACTCAATATCATTACAACATATGTACAGAACAGAACACATCGAATCTTTCAAAAGCTGAGTTAGAGAATTTTCCGGAGAATTTTTTAATGTTAATAACTTAACAAGATCAATATTAAATCCTCCAGTTACTACTTGAAATGTTAGTTTTGGACTTTCAATGTCTTCAATTACTCCTTGTAGCATAATATTGATGTTGTAAGAGTTTACTTCAATTCCATTTATTTTTACTAGGTAATAACCTACTTTGACTCGTGGAATGTATATCGCTTTAGCTTCTGTTAAGAAATTTGCAACAATTAATGT